TGCCGATTACACATGCTCTTTAAACAAGTAAAAGATTATCAATTTACGCAAGTAATTAACTTTTACAACACTAATAATTTGTAAAAATGTGGCTATTTAAAATTAAAGCTTTGCATAATATAATATCTGGAAATATGATATATATCGATTTCGATCAAATCACGTAAAATACGCGCACGCAATAAAAATTTTATAAATATTATCACTTTAAACGATATGTCGATATGTCACGGCTTTCTGTTATTTGAATCACCATTTTCGTGTATTAATCTTTCCATCCGCAAATGAGGCGCATATTATGCTTAAATAGAGGAAAAATTTTAAACGCGAGGTGCGAAAAATATATTTGAACTTAAACATATTCTCACAGATATAATATTATTGTACATAATATCGCAATAAAACAATTTAAAAATTTCCCCTTCCCATCGTTACATGATTTCTACTTTGAATGAATATATTATGCGATATAGATACGGAAGAGAAATATCCATGTCTCGATACATTCTGTTACGAGTTGCTTATCGCGAGTATTAGTTAATCGCGCAAGCTGATAATTGCTAATTGTAGTAATCGTAGCGAATAATCATCTTTGATATCTCTCGGTATTTTACGTTATCTCGAAAGGTCATACACCTCTGCCGCACGAATCAAGGCTACGGTATAACACGCTATACCCTATACACTATGTAATAATTTTTATCGCTATTATTTTGTAATATTTAATATATTACGAAATAAATACACGTGAAATATTGTGTTTCTTGAATTTTTAATTAATTATTAATAAACGCTTGATGTATCACGGCATTACTTTAGTCACTTGATCCTGTGATTTGTATCATACTGCACATTCTCTAAAATGATTAACAAATTACATTTGAATCAATGAAAAGTTTGAAACTCGAGGCGAAACTATGGCTGCGTTCCGATATTCATTGTCTACGTGTACGTGACGTAAACTATATTTTTTCAGTACTGGCAGTGAATATTGAAACGCATCTTGTCATTTCGATTTTTACATTTTAAATGAATGTATCGCGAGAAATACCTGCTTCGATAAATAGTTATCATTTCGGTATCCTTACAATAGCAAAAATTGATAATTTTTAATTATTCATAAAAAACAACTTTCTTTATTTTTGAAATATCATGCATTTTAAAAACAGATAATGTTTAACAAATTTTTTGAAAGTTAACGAATTTAAATTTATTCTCAAATAAATAGAAATAGAACTTGAATACATTTTCTACATATATATTTAAAATAGTTATGTTTAAAATTTGTTTAGAATAGTTACTTTCTTTTTTAAATTAGAAAATTATACATAGAGAATCATAAATAATCAATTACTTGATATGTCAATCAACCATCTCTATTCTACAGAAAAAACATTATTTGTATTAAAAATTTTATTCTTAAATCTTCTTATCTTATACAAATAAAAGGTAATACTAGGAGCTCTGAATAAACCATTATCCAAGTTACCTCTCGGTTCTTATCTATAAGCTTTAAGTTATCTTAAGTAATTATTTATACATACACTTCAAAATTTAAAAAGGAAAGTAGCCCCAGAACTAGTAGTCTCAGTTTAGAGAAATCGATCGTAATAGATGGTGTGTTTGTCCTGTGAAATGTCGTTGAAGTTAATTTTAATAGTACCAATTTTATGGATTACCACTGATGCTGCACGCATCCTTGTAGTTATTCCAGAGCCATCTTACAGTCATCAGGTTTTTTTAAAAAATTTTATCATTTTATTGTAAAGTAATATCTATTTCATAAGCCTCCTTTAATCTTTCTTAAGCAACGTCGGCGCCGGTGCTTAAAGAACACGTTTGTTTTTAGACATTTTCAAAATTTCGTAAATTTTTGTCAAATAAAACAAAAAAGACCAAGAGATTAAGGGGGCATACCCATTTGAAACTTAAAAAAAAAATTTTTTTAAGCTGAAAATTTGTATTTAAGTAGTTAATAATATTGTATTAACATCGTAAAAAAAATTAAAAATTTTTATCGAGTAGTTGCGCTGCAAAAAAGTCTAGAAAATGCACTCATTTTTCGAGAATTCAAACGGGTATGCGCCCTTAAAATTAAATTTTTTTTAAAGATTTTCTTGTTTTTTAAATTATTAAATTAAAAGGAGTAATAGAACAATTTTAAAAATTTTCTTTAATTTATAATGTGTAATTAGTTTTGAAAAAGAGAATTGTTAAATTTATATGTATTTATATATCAGAACGCTTAATATATTTTGTACAATAAATAAATAAATATATATATATATATAAAGCTTCTAGAGATGTAAAAATTCTCGCGAAAAATATTTAGGTAATACGTTTGCTGTAGTCAAAGGGTTAAGCGTTATATGAAAATATTTTAAAGCGGTACTCTTTATTAGGACACGCATCTTGAACTATGTTTAAAATTCAGTTATCTACATAGCCTTTATTCCCTTTACATCATAGAGATTTGCACGAAAAGGCGTGCTCTTGTGATGCGAGATATTAAATTCTTTACTTACGTTGGTTTATGGATAAAGAAGATGAGATGTAAAAATTTTATCGCATTATACGGATATAATATATTTATCGCAAAGATATTTTTCAATCAAAATCTGAAATTCCTTCTTATGACCTTTCTTTATTGTTTTTAAATGTTCCGATAAGAGCTATCCTTGCATTATATTGATATATCTTAATTATCCGATTGAGAAATTGAGAAAATATACTTTCTAAAATACCCACTCATCAGCATGACTTAACTATATGTAAATTAATTTCATTACATTAACTATCTATGCGTACACATCATATATACATGTTTATTTGTGTTCTTCTTTATCTTTTTTATTTGTAAACTTCGTAAGTCTTGACTTAAAAAGTTTATCTCAAAACACCGAATAAATCATACTAATAAAAGTAATAATTAGAAAAAAGATATATCTTAAACCGTATAAATTTTTATCGTGTAAGATATGAGAAATGTAATTTTATTATTAAATCAATTACGAATCTTTAAAACTGTTCTTCTTCTTATAAAGAATAATATACCTTTTTTCTCACTGTAATAAAACACAGATACAACTTTGTATATTATCGTTATTAAAGAAATAATCACTATTAACGCAATACATACCACCGACGATGACATTGTTGACTATGATAATAAACACAGATATTTTTCAAATATATTATGTAATTACAAAAGTTCCATAATTTTTTTCTACAAAATATCAATATTATATTATAAATGCATATTGTAATTATATTGTAATTATAGGTCTTAAATATATCGTCTATCTTGTGACTATTATTTGTGTAGCTGCAGAAAGATTCGTAATTGATTTAATAATAAAATTACATCTCTCATATCTTACAAAATAAAAGTCTATACGGTTTAAGATATATTTTTTTTTTCTAATTATTACTTTTATTAGCATGATTTATTCGGCGTTTTAAGATAAATTTTTTACGTCAAGGCTTATGAAGTTTACGAATAAAAAAGATAAAGAAGAATACAAATAAACATGTATATATGGTGTGTGCGCATAGATAGTTATTGCAATGAAATTAATTTACATATAGTTAAGTCATAAATATTAAGTGTTATAATTATACTGATGTTCATGGCTTTGTAGGTGGCTTTCAGACCATTAACCGTGGAACTGGCTCGAAGAGGTCATGAGCTGACCGTTTTTACGCCGGCCCCCATAAACGATCCCACTCTTCAAAATTACACCGAGGTGAAATTGAGTTATTGCTCTTACGAAATGATCGATTCATTTGACCTCTTAGGATTCGCTAAATTAGGGGTATGGCCGCTTCTGGACGCATTTTATCGACGTAACGAAAAAATGACTGACAGTGCTCTATCCAATCCCATCATGCAGCGGCTGATATCGTCCAATAGCACCGAAAAGTTTGACTTGATCATCGTCGAACACCTGTTTTACGATGCGTTTTACGCACTATCGTACCGCTTCAACGCATCGCTGATCGGACTAACGTCGCTACCGATTATGGCTTTTCATCACTACACATTCGGTATGTTTAATCAAATGTATAGTATTCGTGCGTATCTATGTGTGACATATGTACAATTACGTCACCATTATAATTGTGTTTCTCGTGTCGCAGGCAATCCCATATTGTGGGCTTATTTGCCGGATTTGTTGGCGAATACTTTGGATGAAGATATGAATTTGGCGGACCGTTTTCTCAATGCGTACTACTACATTCGTCAAATATATTGGCATCGATATACGATTATACCCGTGCAGGAGAAGATGGTGAAAAAATATTTTGGGGACAATATGCCACCCGCTCATGAGCTTGTCTCGAATATGGACTTGCTTCTGGCCAATTTTCATCCTTTCCTTTACCCACACGCGAACGTTCCTGGGATCATTCCCATAAAAGGATCTCGTCAAATCAATCAGAGGAACCACAATCTACCACAGGTACGTATAAGCCGAGCAATGCAAACAAAAATGTCGTCTGTTAATATTGAGAAATTTTTCTAACATCTTGTAATGTTTGACACGAAAAAACATGCTACGCATACATACACATATGCACGCAAGCAAGGAAAATACTGCAAAAAATTTCTATTATACAATACAGTCTGCTTCTATCTCAATGTTGCAACATAAAATTGAATTTGAGTAAAGTTAATGGAAACAAAACGCGCGTATTTTTGCAGGATCTGAAAAAGATATTGGACGACACGAAGGAAGGATTTATATATTTCAGTTTAGGCTCAAACATAAAAAGTAGTTTTCTATCTGCCGAAAGACTTGCCATGTTTCTGGAAACCTTCAAAAAATTACCCTACATCGTATTGTGGAAGTATGAGTCCGATCTCCTGGATCAACCAAACAACGTCATCACGAGAGAATGGTTGCCGCAGCATGCAGTTCTAGGTTTGTTTTCATCACGCGAAAACTTTATACAGAATATCGTATACATGATAGAAGAATTAGATTTTTTTGACAACTCTTTTGCGTTCTCTAACATAAAAAAAATTAATTTACAAAAATAAGAGAATTATCGATTATATAAAAGTTCTCGGTTTTTATTTTATTAGCACATCCGAACGTACGGCTCTTCATGTATCAAGGAGGCTTACAGAGTACCGAGGAAACGATGGAGAATGGAGTACCCGTGATTGGCCTTCCCGTTTTCGCCGATCAACATTATAACGTAAAACAACTGGAGAATCATGGAGCGGGAAAAAGACTCATCATTACCGACGTGAACGAAGACGAGCTCACAGAGGCCATAATTGAGGTCATTACGAATTCCAGGTAAGTTTTTTTTTGTTATCCTTTTTTAAAAATATATGTGTGTCCATAGTTATCAATATCCCGAAATTTTTCTTTTACTTTCGATATTTCAATTTTTAATCTAACATCTATTTTGATATTTTAAACAGTCAGATCATTTTTTTTTTAACTATTTAAACTACAGTTTTATCGAAATTGTTCATTTACTGCCTATTCGAGGTACAAAGGAGCTCATTCCTATATAAGTTAAGCCTATCGAAATTCTCTATAGAATCCATAAACGTGAAAAAAATTGAAATTGAAAATAGGAGCAATTTTTGGGATGTCAGAGCGATTAATCCGTCTGTGCTATCTTTCTGCTTTCAGTTACAAGAATAACATGCTAAAGCTGCGCGACCTGCTGCATGATTTGCCGTACGATCCGTTGAACAATGCTATTTGGTGGATCGAGCATGTCATACGTCACAAAGGAGCACGGCATCTTCGGAACAAGTCGCGAGATATGCCCTGGTACAAGACTCAACTATTGGACATGCTAGCGATTGTACTCATATCACTTGCCCTCTTTGCATATATCATTGTAGTGATTACACGTCTCATTTTTCGAATTGTCAAACTCATGCCCACGTGGAAAAAACCAATATTCAGCACGAAAAAGCAACAATAGACATCTTTAGTGTGAATTATAATGAAAGATGTGTTTGTACTTTCCCGAGAAAAAATAGACTTATATAATTTATATAAGATCATATATAATTAAAACCAAAATTTCTGCCGCACGATATATGATCTGGCCATATATAATCAAATCCGAAATTTGGTGCAACATGATCTGATCAGATATAATAATATCTGAAATTTAGCCTGATATAATCTTATCTTTATATAATCATATTTGACTAGATATGATTATGTATGAAAACAGATATAGCCGTATATAATTATATAAAGATAAGATAATATCGCACCAAATTTCAAATATTATTATATACAATCGTATAAAATGACATATATTACCAGATCTTTTCATAACTAATTATGTATATTTACATCTGACCATATTACACTCATTTTTTCTCGAGTTGTGTTATTTTTTTTCATCCGAGATTATACCTTGCATTTCGCGCGATAAAAAAATGGATAATAACAAAATAAAGAATTTTAATAACGGTCGAACGATGAATTAATAAATCAATATATTCGAATTGCAATACAATTATGTAGAAACGTTTGCACGACACGTGAACTACCTCCACTTTTTTTATGTTGTCGACTATATCGGGATGAAATTTCTCGTTTCTTTTTTTTTGTATTGTAGTAAAACCGCCGATGTTTCATTCTCGATTTCACACGGATATAACAATGTCTAGAAAAATACTTTATTTCCTCGTACAATAAAGCAATATTCTAGCAGACTACACATGTAACGAGACTGTAATTCTTTCGAAGTCCTGAATTAAAAGCGTATATCAATAATTTCATAAAGTTATTAATAAGAACGTCATATGTGCAAAAAGACATCAATAAAATCATTGTTATATGTGCAATAATAATTTAAGCTTATTTGAAGAGCAACTAATAGCGTGCATGTAATCACACATATTCAATTTTACAAATTATAACATTAAAATATTAAACTCGTGCAACAAATATTAGTAAGTATACTCTGCGAGGTATCGAAAAATAAATCGCCGATTCCAGAGAATGCAAATTTAAATTTAATTTCGCAATAATACGCTGCGAATATGGTAACTCTTTTTCACGAATTTCCGTTCGCAATTTCCACGGTTGCGATATTCAAAATATACTCGTCGGAAAAAAATTGTTCGCTTCTACAGGCACGTCCGCTTCCACGGTGGGTGAAAGAGGCGGAGAGGGGAGGGAGTGAGGAGGAGGGGAGGCGAGGGGGGAGGAGAGATAGGTGTACGTTTCAATAGCAATGAGCCGCGAAATTGCTTTACGCAATCGGCCATTATTTGCTTGAAAATTTTGCCGCGTATCCGCGAACAACTCGCCGTTTGATATGATACGAAATATTATTCAATGTGCATCGCCGAGCGCGTTTGATTGCGCGCCGATCGCGCAATTATTGATGGTAACGACGCGCCGCTGCTCGTCGGATACCTCTTCCTCGACCCGTGTGTAATAAAACGCGACCGCCGTCCACGCGTGCACGCACGGATGCACGGTTATCGCACCGGCGTCTCTGCGAATGCAAATCGAAGAAGTAGATCAACGAACGCAGTGGCTACAATACAATGTGACGGTTAAAATTTGATGATTTACCGGTAAATAAAAAATACAAGATTAAAATGCAAAATAAATGACATACGCACGAAATTATCCAAAAGAGAGAGAGAAAGAAAGAGAGAGAGAGAGAGAGAGAGAAAGCGAAAATAGATGACAAGAATTAAATAAGATGTGACGAAAGCATACTATGTATTGTATAAATAAAGAGAGAAAATAATTTACGTAATATTGCTACTGTACGATCAATCATTTATCAATCATTCTGTAAATAACGCATTGCTCGAAAAAATTTAAGAGGAATGTGACAAGCTCTTTCTTCGCACCGGCGTCTCTGCGAATGCAAATCGAAGAAGTAGATCAACGAACGCAGTGGCTACAATACAATGTGACGGTTAAAATTTGATGATTTACCGGTAAATAAAAAATACAAGATTAAAATGCAAAATAAATGACATACGCACGAAATTATCCAAAAGAGAGAGAGAAAGAAAGAGAGAGAGAGAGAGAGAGAGAAAGCGAAAATAGATGACAAGAATTAAATAAGATGTGACGAAAGCATACTATGTATTGTATAAATAAAGAGAGAAAATAATTTACGTAATATTGCTACTGTACGATCAATCATTTATCAATCATTCTGTAAATAACGCATTGCTCGAAAAAATTTAAGAGGAATGTGACAAGCTCTTTCTCTCTCTCTTTCTCTTTCTCTTCTGTATATATATATATATATATATCTTAACAAAATATTTCGATAATGATTAAATGCTGATTTGACAGGCTTTCAATCAAAATATTTGAGAGTCATCGTCTTCGAATTTATTTTACGTACGTCATTAAAACTTAGTCATTATAATCAAAGGTAATTTATCATTGTATATTTTTCTTTTCCTCTTCCCCCTCACTAAATCACTATTTCGATATCTCAAGGAAGAGAGTTTTACACATGAGAGGCGAATGAACTCCCGAAGTAGATGTTGATAGTGTTAAGTAATATTGCTTTTTTTATCAAGCTCTAGGTTATCAGATATACTATCTGCGCAGTTTAAGTAAAAAATTTTGTTATCTATCTCTGATATTATCTGATGTTATCTGTCTCTCGCATTTTATAAAATTGAAGTTTATTTCTATACTATAGAAGTATCGAAGAAACAAAGATCGTTGTAGCATTTGAGAAATTAAAGACGCCTAATATACTGTAAAGAGAGCGCTATAATTTAATTTACAGAGCTGGAGCAACGTGAGCGACATTCTGAACAGTTTCTCCAATAAAATAAATCTTAAACATTAACAGAAATAGGCTCAGAATACTAACGATACTAGCTGAGGAAACTGGCAAATAAGAGCTGAAGCACGAATTAGTGCGCAAGATTTTTTGTTCTTTAATTTTAATAACAAATATGCATTAAATAATATGTACGTTTTGTGGACCATTTTTTGGTCTATCTTCAACATAGACAACAATATATAAAAATTAAATTTGTATTTGAAATTTAACATACGCAATATTAATTGTTACAATCGAAAATCAAATTAAAGTCGTTAATCAAAGAGAACGATCAACCAAAATTCGAGTAGAGTCTGTGCAAGTTAGTCGACAACGTCATCGTCACGTGTGTATCCGTCAGTGATACAAAACGTAATAATCTGGTATAATAGTTTTATTCTAAATTTTTTCAATTTTGTTTTTCATGTCTTTTATTTTTTTTTTTTTTAGTTATAATAAAATTACTGGGACTTGCATATAAATTTTTGCAGAAATCACAAATCTTTTTAATTTTAAACGCTGTATTCGCCGTTTTAATTTGTTTTGATAAACCATCATTTCATCACGAAAATCTTATTAAACCTTTGCAAGAAATTTTTTTTGAAAATACAAATTTCTTTAAGAATATATATATACTCAATTTTACATGAGATAGGATTCTCTTCCAACACATTGCACATTGCATAATAAAATTGAAATGTCAAACAGTAAAAAAATGTTAAAAAAATTACGAGGACTGATCATACCTCTTTTTTGGATTTGAAGAAAATAATTTCTTTTCGAATCGTGTAATATACTATCGAATCCCATATCCGATGTAGTGATTCGAAGGCTTGCGTTTTTCTACGAGCGTCTTATCGCACATAGAGCCACCAGCACGATAACGTCAAGTTCGAAGTCTATGTTAAGGGGAAGAGAAAGTACAGACAGATAGACAGAGAGAGAGAGAGAGAGAGAGAGAGAGAGAGAGAGAGAGAGTATAAGGAAGCGGCAGCGACGGCGGTCGGGCTGAAAGGGGCGAATACCTTTTAGGAGCTTAGAGATTACACTTGGGGGACGAGCTGGCAGTAATGCAAAGGTGAGTCTCGCGGGCGCAAGCCGCTCATTCCCACGAAGGATTCGACTGAACTTATAATACCTACGATGTGGGATCGGTTGCGGCACGCTTCATGCAAGTTCTCTCCTCCCTCCCCCTTTCCTGCACTATCGTTCCATTGACACCCCCGGCTCATCACGTCACGCGCGCTTGACGCATTCATAATTCAATATCAAATGCGAATCTCATCGATTTCGAGGCCGATAGAGCCTGCGAAATTACACACGGATCCGATTTATTGCCGCCGGACGAGGAGCTTCCTTATCCTTATTGATTATGGAGTAGAGGGAAAGGGACCGAAATACAACTAATGGAGAGTAATGTAAGGATAAGCGTAAATAAATTGAACGAATTGAAGTATCTTGATATGCTGGAGAAAAAAATTATCTTCTTAGGCTCACATGAAATTGGCATACGTTCGATAATATATTTATATAAAATGTCTCTTGTCTCCACATCATATTTTTTATATATCGTATTTAATAGATTGTACATATATTTCTTCTATATTTTTTTTAAAGAAGGTTGGACTTATTCTCTCATCGAGTCATTCAATTAAATCTAAATAACGTTCTTTTTCTACGTATAACGGCAAACCACGTCACTCTCTGGGATTTTTAACCACTGGCAAAGCAGCAACGAGACTTGTCATTTAATGCGAGAAATACCTTGAATAGCAATATCCATTATCGCGGGATTACACTTGAACGGACACTTCTCGTTTCATCGTGATCGGATTAGGCTTTATGGGAGCGAAGAGGAGAGGGGAGGTATGGGGTTCGCGTGAAAAAGGAAGCGGGAAGATTTCTCAAAGAAGCGGGGAAGGGTGAGTATCACGTCATAGGAGAGACGGTACCGCTTTAATCCGCCACGGGAAAATCTTGTAAATAATCGAAGCAATTATTCGGCTCGGTGGCACGGAGACGACGACGACCCTGTAAAGAAATCGGCGCGAGAAAAGAAAGGAGGATACTTCGTTTTATTTCATTTGCACGAATCTCTCGATTATTCGACGCGTAGGTGTAACTGATTGTGAAAAACAAGGTGGTTCTTGACGAATCTCGAGAAAAGAGATTCGAGACTAGATTAACACGTAAATATACTATCGAGTAATAATTCTGAGAGTCTACAGATAAAGTAAAAATTATCCCAGTTATTACACTCAATTTCAGACGTGAATATTAAACAAGATTCTCCAATTATGTGCCGTAAGAAAAGATAACTGAAAATTATCCGAATTATGTGTGCGTTTGGTAAATATATATATATCATTTTAACTGCATTTCATTAAATCTTATTAAATCTAATCCAGCACTCAAAAAAGTGGTTTTGCAACTACAGCAAAAATTTTCTGGGTGCGCAAAATTAACTGAGGTACATAAATGATTAGCAAATACTGTGATATCGCATATGTTTCGCATTTAATCAATCTAAGTGACAGAGACAGAATTTATATCTGAACTGTTTGTGAAATTTAGAAAGAATGTTTTTCTGTGGCGCCTATCCATGTTAAGGCCAATCATACTTGTCATAAAGTTTGGCTGTGGTACACAGAAAAAATTAGCGACAAGAAACAAATGAATATATAATCCTCACATATAACATATTTGTATAATGCGCCCAATCTATCTAGCTCTTTTAAACAATTTCTCTCAATTTTTCAATGCTGCAGTTATAATTGGCAGTTATATTTCTCACAAAGATCGTTCTAGCTGTAGTATCGAAACTCATATTTATCCAATGCAGTGATTAACATTTGGCAATGGGACCTAAATTTTCTAGAAGATATTATTAGAATAT